TGATACATAGAAATTATTTTTGTTAGAAAAAAGTTACTGGCATTAGAAATCATTCCCGCCCCTTTGAGCGATATCAACACAATGATTGTTATTGATCGCTAGCTTTACAATAAATTATTATAAATTAATTAAACATTTGAAAAAAAAATTGTAAACAAAAACTTTTATTTAGCTGAAGTTAATATAATTCAAACTTGAAAAAAAAAATTAAAACTATTTATCTTTTAAAAATGAATTGTTCTCTGAAAAAATAAATTAGTTTAAAATGTTTTAAAAAATTTGTATAATAAATATTTTTTTTTAGTTTCTTGAGTTAAAACATTATTAAGACTAGCAGTAGAAATTTGACGAACCGTTGTTTCCGTTGTAAAGGTTAAAATTATCAGCTTTAATTAGTTTTACCAATCTGATTTCTAATCATCGCCCAATGCCACCCTTATTCTCTAAATTATTGTGATAATGTGATATTAATGAGGAAAGTTTAATCTTTAAAAAAATATTTAGAAAACAAATTAAGAACCATCAAATTGAATTGTACTGAACTAAAATAATATAATAAATAATACTAAAAATATTAATTTATAACATAAAAATTAAATTTCAACGCCGTATTTTTAAAAATTGTTAATTTTATTTTAATTCTGCTGTTAAATGTAAACAAAAGTTTTAAAGTTTACCTGATTGTTTAAAATATTAGAGGGGGGGGGGGAATTGAATTGTGATATTAGAAGTATTTCTGAATAAAGTGTCAAAGTTAAGTATTACTGCACGTATTTTTGAACACGTACTATACAGAGTGTACTCACCATTTAAACTGCTTTATAGACGCCAGTCACCTATTTTCGATAGGACAAATTTGTGAGAGCTTGCATTGTACAAATTTGTGAGGGTTGGCATTGCGCTACATAAAAAAAATTGTGAGGGTTTGCATTGTGCTATAAAACAAATTTGTGAGGGTTGGCATTGTGCTATAGAACAAATTTGTGAGGGTTGGCATTGTGATATAGAACAAATTTGTGAAGGTTGGCATTGTGCTATAGAACAAATTTGTGAGGGTTTGCATAGTGCTATAAAACAAATTTGTGAGGGTTGGCATTGTGCTATAGAACAAATTTGTGAGGGTTGGCATTGTGATATAGAACAAATTTGTGAAGGTTGGCATTGTGCTATAGAACAAATTTGTGAGGGTTGGCACTATGCTAGAGACCAATTTTGTGGGGATTAACATTGTGCTATGGCATTTGTGCGGTTGGGCATTGTGCTATAGAACGAATTTGTGAGGGTTGGTATTGTGCTATAAAACAAATTTGTGAGGGTTGGCATGAGACAAACTGACTGTTATTTAATCCAATGAATGCAGCAAGCACCATTTTGTCGAGAGAACGGCGCTTTTGATTGGTTCCTGGTCACTGTGAATGTTTACTATTCGTCCTGCACCGTGTTTATTTGCTCATATACAATCGGTGTAGAAAATTGTTCTGCTGTAAAACCGTGTATGTGCTTTCATTTTTTCTCTCCTACCGAAGATACCAGGGGTGACCCCAACATAGGCCGAACTAATCACTAGTTTGACTTTTTTAACTTCGTAATTTTATCTTCTCTCAGTAAAATGTTATCCAACTTTTCTATGTAAAATACAATGGAGCTTCTCTCTATAAAATCCAACCCAACTTCTTTCTATAAAACACAATGAAAAAAAAAAGAAAAATTCTCTCACTTATGTTACCAGCCTCTAGACCCGTGGGTCACGTTTTTCCTTCCTCCCCCGGTGTAAACACGCACCATCTACCTTGGTATGAGGGGGGCAGGAGAGACCTACGGTCGCGAGCCCGGGTTCCGAACGTATGCCTTTCGGGTTAATGGGCACTGGTTTCATAACTAGACCAAGACATCACACACTTATTTGTTATATTAAAAAATATGGCATTAATGTTCATATCCAACTTACTGGGGTCGGCGTGGTCGAGTCGGTAAAGCTCATGGTTGCTAAACCGAAAAGTCTCGAGTTGGGGACAGCCACTCTTCTAGGAGAGACAACTCCAAAATCAAACAACTGCTGCCTTGTAGTTTGTTCTTGGTTGGACAAAGGCTATGGAAGCAAATCCAAAAAGAAATCAGGCTGAAATCGGAGTCAATGGCCTCAATGGCGCATAACCAGTTGATACGTAATCCTTAATTGTGATGGAAGCATGGTCGAGTCGGCAAAGCTCATTGTTGATAAATTCGAAAAAAGCCTCGAGTTCAAACCCTCTGGCAGATAAGGCTCGATCCTTTCCAACACTAAAAATTAAGAACGAAGAAGAAGAAAAAGAAGATATCCAACTTAGACATCTTTAATGTATCTTTAAACTTTAAAAACAGGAAATCCGCTATTTTTGTTTGATACTCTTTCTGTTGCTATGATAAGAAAGTATACATTACAGGCTAACCCTGTAGGATTAGAGATCGCATACAACAGGCTAACCCTGTAGGATTAGAGATCGCATACAACAGGCTAACCCTGTAGGATTAGAGATCACATACAGCAGGCTAACCCTGTAGGATTAGAGATCGCATACAACAGGCTAACCCTGTAGGATTAGAGATCACATACAACAGGCTAACCCTGTAGGATTAGAGACCACATACAACAGGCTAACCCTGTAGGCCTTTACTGGATCTACAAGTTGAGCTCAGGTGTGTTTACATTGTCTAAATCCAAACACGTGCAGGTATTTGGTCTAGGGGCTGGTCTGGTTCCAGTCAGCCGCTTGCCTAGAGGCGATAAAGGTTAGCCTAGCCTAGCAGGTCACTGATAGAGTGCTAGTAAAGGTTAGCCTAGCCTAGCAGGTCACTCATCGAGTGCAAGTAACGGTTAGCCTAGTTTGGGATTTAGGTCACTGATCTAGTTCTAGTAAAGGTTACCCTAGGCCATCAGTAAACCACTTATACAGTTAAGTAAAAGCAGAAAGTTTAAATGAGTTAAGTTTTGAATGATCAGGTGCAACCTACTTTTTGTAAAGCGTCAATGTGACTTGTAGTCAGTGGCGTAGCGAGGTCGGTGTCACCCGGTGCGGCACTTAATGGTGTCACCCCCCCCCCCCAGAGGCGTAGCGACCCTTCCTGGGGACAAACTTTCAAGTTTTCTATTTGTACCCCCCCCCTCAAGTTTTCGATTTGCACCCCCCTCAAGTTTTTCTCTATATATTTTGCTATTTTTTGCCTTGGTGTCACCCCCCTAAATGGTGTCACCGGCTGTGGTCCGCACCCCCCTCGCTACGCCCCTGCTTGTAGTGACTCCTAAGACACGTGACATTGATCGATTCAAACAATCTTTGATGTCTAGTGACTCACAAGCACCAAATGTCACGTTTCCTGACTCCAAAAATACCTTCAACCAACCTCTTCCTCTTGCGAATCATTCTGTGTAATGGGAGGTTGGGTAGTGTGTACTGGGAGGTTGGGTAGTGTGTACTGGGAGGTTGGGTAGGTGTAATGGTAGGTTGAGTTGTGTAATGGGAGGTTGAGTTGTGTAATGGGAGGTTGAGTTGAGTGTAATGGGAGAATGAGTCGAGCTGTTGCTGTCCAGATAAAAAATGTGAGAACCACTGCGGTGCAAGTAAAGAGATCGTCACTAGGGACACAAGAGCACGTGATCAACTGCTGCATTTCAACACGTGCATGTCCAGCTGTGTGCTGGGGTGAGCTAAGTAATCAAGCGTGAGTAAACACCAGAGATCGTCTGAAATTTGGTCAGAATAACAAGTCCAGTATCTGGAAATGTGTGATCGATAGTCAAAACACGGCACCATTTACTTGTAGACTTACTAACCAAATATCGAACAGATTTGTGTACTCACACAAATATTAATATGGACAAACTAACAAAACCAACAACCAAATGATAAATGCTTATTGTTTTATTAACTGGCGCATAAAAGCAAACCAAACAAATATAAATAAATCAAATCAAGTCAAAGAACAACAATCGTCAAACAATCTTTTCAAAGTTGGACATTGAGAAAATACCTTCCTGCGGTAACCAACCATCCCGTGTGAGGTGGTCAAATGACTAATTAATTAACTCCAACAATAACCACAGGCCGGCCTCTTAAATCTTTATCATTGATACAAACATACAAAGTAAATAACAAAGCCGTTACAAACGGATAAAATAATGCCCGTCTGGTCAAACACATGTGTAATGTTTTTATAGAACCAGGACCATCGTGTATACTAGACAGGTTTAGATGTTATGTTATTATTTCTGTGCAAGAATTAGGTCAGCTAGTCAGGAAAGTTGTATAAAGTTGTCTGTACAAGAATTAGGTCAGCTAGTCAGGAAAGTTGTATAAATTTGTTTCTGTACAAGAATTAGGTCAGCTAGTCAGGAAAGTTGTATAAATTTGTTTCTGTACAAGAATTAGGTCAGCTAGTCAGGAAAGTTGTATAAAGTTGATTCTGTACAAGAATTAGGTCAGCTAGTCAGGAAAGTTGTATAAAGTTGATTCTGTACAAGAATTAGGTCAGCTAGTCAGGAAAGTTGTATAAATTTGTTTCTGTACAAGAATTAGGTCAGCTAGTCAGGAAAGTTGTATAAAGTTGTGTTTGTACAAGAATTAGATCAGCTAGTCAGGAAAGTTGTTTTGTATAAAGTTTGTGTATCTGTACAAGAATCAGGTCAGCCAGTCAGGAAAGTTGTATAAAATTTTGTATGTACAACAATTAGATCAGCTAGCAGGGAAAAGTAAATGTAAAGACATGTATAAATAAATAATGAACATTAGTTTGGAAATGTAAATTGTTACAACAGTATCAAACAACTTGAAACAAACTCAACTGCATTATATTCAGTACTGTACACATAAATGGTCTGGTCTGATCGTACAAGAAACAACAAACAAATAAGAACAAGTTATAGTAATAGAGGGAATATAGATTTCATATAGTGATGATGTACAATGTGTAGAGTGTGTAGCATGTATAGCATGTACAGTGTGTGTAGGAAATGTGTAGTGTGTAGCATGTATAGCATGTACAGTGTGTGTAGAAAATGTGTAGAGTGTGTAGGAAGTGTGTAGGAAGTGTGTAGGAAGTGTGTAGGAAGTGCATAGAGATCATAGAGTTAAGCAAGGATGTAAAGAGTATTTTGATGTGTTTAAACATCAGACAAAGACACAAGTTATCAAACAAAGAGATGAAAGGCAGAAATAGAAAGACTTGTAGAGTCACCTCAAGATTAGCAGTACAGATAAGGTCAACTAGGACCTCAAGACCCCATTTGAAAGTCGCATAACATCTTTATCTCTCTTGACTAAGTTCAATGGTTCTTCAGCCTCAGCAAGTGAGGATCTCCCCCCACTAGTAGGGGGGACATTCTGCAGTGTTTGTTTGATGGCCAGCTCATGGCGGCCCATGACAGAGCCCTCATACAGAGTGGGCTGGCACAGAGTTTTCAGGCTGGGAGATGAGCTTTTCCTCACACTGCTGCCTTTACAGTTCTGATTTCTCAGTAAAGTGTTGGCTATGTCGGCTATTTTTTTCTTCTGGGCCACCTGTTTCTTTAACTGACTAGAACCATTAGGGCTGGGACTCTGTGTGGATGGCTGGTTGCTGGACTCTGGTGAGGATGAGGTGGATGATGGTGAGGTGGATAATGATGAGGTGGATGATGGCGAGGTGGATGACAGTGAGGAGGATGGCGGTGAGGTTGGTGACTTGACAGCGATGGGTTCACTGGTACTGGAGTGTGGTGGTTGAGAGCAAGTCTCAGCTTTGTGTTCAACAGATAGAGAAGGTTTAAAGGATCTTCCCTCAGGCGTAGGTGCCCTGGTGACCGGGGTCAAGTGGGCTGTGTCTGACCCCTGTGTCTGGGACTGCTGGACTGGTACCGCTGCAGGGGTGGGGGAGGCCGAGGCAGCAGGTGTAGGGGATGCTATGGAAGTAGATGAAACAGTCTGGCTTGACTCAGGTGCTGGCTTGTGTTGAACTCTGACCTGAGCAGCTGGCCTAGATAGGACAGGGGAGACAGAAGATGAGGTAGATGAGCTGACTGGAGCCAGGGTGAGAGAGACTGGCTTGTTGCTTCTAGAGAGTGTGCTGCTCTCTGCTTGAACACTGCTAGTTTTTAACATGGACGCCACAGAGAAGGGATGCTTAGAAGACTGAACACTGGATTTGTCTGTACTTGCCCCATGAAACGCGGGGTAGAGTGAAATCATCTGCTGTGTTCTGAGCTGTTTAGTTTCAAGCTGGAGATACCCAGATAAACCCATCATCTGGGTGGTGGCCAGCTTAGATGGGGCTGGAGCTATAAGCACAGGACCATTGGCCTGTCTTTTCCCTAGCAGAGACTTGCCAGGAGGTCTGGCATCAGCTCTATGTTTGGCAGTTCTAGAAGGTTTTGTGTTGGCAGGGACAGGTCTGGTGGGCTCAAGACAGCTGGAAGACACAAGCTGTGTAGCAGTAGCCACAGAACAGGCCTGGCTTGTGGGCTGACTAGGTGGATGGCTGAGTCTAGGAGATGGCTCTGGTCTTGTGTCTTTAGTGTCAGCTGATGCTGGTGCAGTGGCTTGTGGTGATGGAGCTGCTAGTGCAGGGACTTGAGATGACAGAGCTGTTGATGCAGGGGCTTGTGGTAATGGAGCTACTGGTTTCACAAGAGATGTATCCTTCAACTGTTTCCCAGAGTTGTTGGTCTTAGACTGGACTTGGTGGGAATCTGAGTAGTGGTGCTTGATGACCCCAGGCAAGCTGTGCTTGGCTGGTCTGGCTTCTGCTGGCCTCTCCTCTGGCGCTGCTTGCTGGCCATCTGTAGACAGGCCACAGACTGGTGGCCCAGTGATGGCCTGCTGTGTCGTGGAAGGTTTTGTCACAGAGGATTTTGGCTTGCTTGGCTTAGATAAAACTCTCTGGGGTGTCATGTCACCTCTAGCTTTCTCCTCTGTTTTAGTAACAGAGAGTGCTTTGGGTGTTTTCTGAGGTACAGTGCTGGGCAATCCATTAGATTTGGGATCAGATTTTGTAACAGACCCAGCTTTTGATGTTTTTTGAGGTATTATGCTAGAGACTGCATTAAGTTTATCATCTGTATTTAAAACAGGCTGGGGGTTTGCTAAAACAGACTGTGCTTTAGATGTTTTCTGAGGTATTATGCTAGACAAGCCATTAGGTTTTTCATCCAGTTTTGAAATGGACTGTGATTTTGTTAAATCCGGATGTGTTTTTGCTAAAACTGGCTGAGTTTTTGCTGAATCCGGCTGTGTTTTTACTAAATCTGGCTGAGTTTTTGCTAAAGCTAGCTGAGTTTTTGCTAAATCAGACAAGCCATTAGGTTTTTCATCCGGTTTTGAAATTGACTGTGTTTTTGCAAAATCTGGCTGTGTTTTTGCAAAATCTGGCTGTGTTTTTGCAAAATCTGGCTGTGTTTTTGCAAAATCTGTCTGTACTTTTGCAAAATCTGGCTGCATTTTTGTTAAATTTGGCTGTGTTTTTACTAAAACTGGCCGTGTTTTTGATGTTTTCTGAAGAGTTGTGGTAGGAAATCCATTAGTTTTTTCATTTGATTTTGGAACTGGCTGTGGTTTTGATGTTTTCTGAGACATTATGCTAGAGAATCCCTTTGATTTGTCATCAGTTTTTGATGGAGGCATTGCTTTTGATAAAACAGGCTGTGCTTTTGATTTTTTCTGAGGCACAACACTGGATAGTCCTTTGTGTTTGTCTTGTAACTGAGGAAGTGTATCAGTGAGTTGTGAGAGAGACATTTCTGTCTCACTGCTCAGTTTTTCAGCCTTGACCTTTGGTTCTTCAGTTAAGTTTGTGTTCAGCTGCTTGACCTCCTCCATCTTGCGTTTCTTTGGGTTTGGGCCTTCAAAGACACAGAATGTCAGGGACAGTGGGGCTCTCTGCAACAAGTGTACAGGTTACGTCATCTACATTGGCATAGTGACAGTCACATACAACATATAGATTATGTGTCAATGTGACAGTCAAATAAACATACAACATATAGATTGTGTGTACATTGTCACTTATCAAGAGATGAGTCTACATACCCTCCTCCAGTTAAATATATAAGCAACATCACAAAGAGTCAAGCTGTTTCTCAAGGGTTCATCATTGTAAAACATGTCGATCTGCAAGTAAACAAAATGTAAGCATTTAGTGTCTTGTCTTTTGTGTCTGAGAGAAAAAAGATCCCAGACAAAGTGCTGGACTCTGGAGACTCTGGTACCATGTATAGAGTCAAACAACCTCCTATGGGCATTGTTGCTTTTACAGTCTGACTAGCAGTAAGAGAACTGCTGTTCTAAACAGCACTTATCTCTGCTGGGGTCATTGAACTAGTCATTTCTCACTCTACCTATACATTCACGTCAAGCACACCTTGCCCAATGAAAGAAATGTACCATCAGATTTGACTGGAGTTCACACACTGATTTAACTGTGTGCGGGCTATATACTATATGCCAGATTATTATTCACATCTTACACATCCCTCTAGTATCAACAATATAGGCCTGCCATTTGTTCAAATACACAATTGTACTTTGGCCCGTCAACTATTTACAAAAAAACATTCTTCTATGGTCCGGTCATCTAAATTACTCCAGCCACTATATGTAGCGCACATGTAAAGAATGGGACTACGCAGACAAATAATAAACCGCTTCAGTAGGAAATGCCATTTAAAAAGAACTAAAATAAAACTAATTTTAGTGGAAAGAAAAAAAAAACTCATTCTTCAGGCAGAATTTCCTGCTCGAATGTTTCATCTTTCTGAACTTGTGTTGAGCGAGGTTGTTGGTTGTAGCGTCATGTGCAGCATATTCTAGCTGCCACCCTAAGCTTTAATGAGTAGATGTAATGAGTGTCGATACGGGCAGCTAACAATAGGCTGGCTGAGCCAGGCAGAGAATCAATGCCCCCAGCTGCCGCTTGCCAAATGGCCAATTAAAATAGGAAAACGGGAGAGGCTGATGAGCGAGGGGCTGTGGTGGATTATTTACAAGATCAGATGGAGGCCAGTGGGTGGAGGCTTGTCCAACTTGGACAACAATCGGGTAGAAAAAACAAATCAGCTTTCAAAAAAACAAACGTACAGTAAGATTGAGTTCATTCTACGAATACACACGAGTTCTGCACGGTAGAACGTGCTGCGTCCTAGTGAGTGAGGTTAGAGTAAAATCTATACGCTAATTATGCATAGGGTGAAAATGAGTGAATAATGTCTAAGTACACATAGCACAGGTCCCCTATGTTACAGACGTGAGAGCAACCAAGGAGGAAGCATGTCTGGATATCGATTAGTTCAAGTATATCAGTAGAGGGGGAGTACTGGCACTGGGAGATGCTAGGGGCAGGCCGGGATCAATACTTTTCGACAAGCACGCCAAATGACTTGTCCAGTAGGCTGGCAAATAGGGAGCCGGGCCCCCCACATGTCGTGCATGATCACCCGCTATAGCACGACTAATCAGGCCCGGACAAAATGGAGGGAATTAATATTGCAAGGAACCCGCGGCTCGTGGAGGTGGGGTACACCAGGGAATAGGAGGAGATGGCTAGAGCTCTACACACGGCGACTGGAACAACTCACGCACGGCTTTATATGGCTGCTCCGTTTTTTTTTTCTTTTTTCTTAGAACATCGGGCTTATTTCTTTTTCTAACAACTTAAACACGTGGCTTTATTTTTAGAATGGAATATGTTTACATTTGGTAGAATCAACGTCAGCTACATTGAATACAATAACAACACAGTAGAGGAGAGAGGCAGTGTTGAAGATGGTGAAGGCAGGAGGAGACAACCGAATGGGGGAGATAACTGGTGTAGAGAGAAGACTTGGTAATGGCGAGTAGTGGCACACAGTAATCCCTGATCGATACAGGTTAATCATATGGATGAAGGCTCGCTGGGGGAGATGGGGGCTGCATGGAGAAAGCTATTAGACTTGCTCACACAGCACTGTGCCAGACATACAAGTCTGATGTCTTACAGCTCCCAGAGCTGGAAGCAGCATTGTGCCAGACATACAAGTCTGATAACTTACACTACAGCTCCCAGTGTCAGACATACAAGTCTGATAACTTACACTACAGCTCCCAGAGCTGTCAGATTGACAATAAGTCATGAGACACAGGTCAGATTGACAATAAGTCATGAGACACAGGTCAGATTGACAGTAAGTCATGAGACACAGGTCAGATTGACAATAAGTCATGAGAAAGGGTCAGATTGACAATAAGTCATGAGACACAGGTCAGATTGACAATAAGTCATGAGACACAGGTCAGATTGACAATAAGTCATGAGACACAGGTCAGATTGACAATAAGTCATGAGAAAGGGTCAGATTGACAGTAAGTCATGAGACACAGGTCAGATTGACAATAAGTCATGAGAAAGGGTCAGATTGACAATAAGTCATGAGACACAGGTCAGATTGACAGTAAGTCATGAGACACAGGTCAGATTGACAATAAGTCATGAGACACAGGTCAGATTGACAATAAGTCATGAGACACAGGTCAGATTGACAATAAGTCATGAGAAAGGGTCAGATTGACAGTAAGTCATGAGACACAGGTCAGATTGACAATAAGTCATGAGAAAGGGTCAGATTGACAATAAGTCATGAGACACAGGTCAGATTGACAGTAAGTCATGAGACACAGGTCAGATTGACAATAAGTCATGAGAAAGGGTCAGATTGACAATAAGTCATGAGACACAGGTCAGATTGACAGTAAGTCATGAGACACAGGTCAGATTGACAATAAGTCATGAGACACAGGTCAGATTGACAATAAGTCATGAGACACAGGTCAGATTGACAATAAGTCATGAGAAAGGGTCAGATTGACATAAAAAGTCATGAGACACAGGTCAGATTGACAATAAGTCATGAGAAAGGGTCAGATTGACAATAAGTCATGAGACACAGGTCAGATTGACAGTAAGTCATGAGACACAGGTCAGATTGACAATAAGTCATGAGACACAGGTCAGATTGACAATAAGTCATGAGACACAGGTCAGATTGACAATAAGTCATGAGAAAGGGTCAGATTGACAGTAAGTCATGAGACACAGGTCAGATTGACAATAAGTCATGAGAAAGGGTCAGATTGACAATAAGTCATGAGACACAGGTCAGATTGACAGTAAGTCATGAGACACAGGTCAGATTGACAATAAGTCATGAGAAAGGGTCAGATTGACAATAAGTCATGAGACACAGGTCAGATTGACAATAAGTCATGAGACACAGATCAGATTGACAGTAAGTCATGAGACACAGGTCAGATTGACAATAAGTCATGAGAAAGGGTCAGATTGACAATAAGTCATGAGACACAGGTCAGATTGACAGTAAGTCATGAGACACAGGTCAGATTGACAATAAGTCATGAGAAAGGGTCAGATTGACAGTAAGTCATGAGACACAGGTCAGATTGACAGTAAGTCATGAGACACAGGTCAGATTGACAATAAGTCATGAGACACAGGTCAGATTGACAATAAGTCATGAGACACAGGTCAGATTGACAATAAGTCATGAGAAAGGGTCAGATTGACAGTAAGTCATGAGACACAGGTCAGATTGACAATAAGTCATGAGAAAGGGTCAGATTGACAATAAGTCATGAGACACAGGTCAGATTGACAGTAAGTCATGAGACACAGGTCAGATTGACAGTAAGTCATGAGACACAGATCAGATTGACAATAAGTCATGAGACACAGGTCAGATTGACAATAAGTCATGAGACACAGATCAGATTGACAGTAAGTCATGAGACACAGGTCAGATTGACAATAAGTCATGAGAAAGGGTCAGATTGACAATAAGTCATGAGACACAGGTCAGATTGACAGTAAGTCATGACACAGGTCAGATTGACAATAAGTCATGACACAGGTCAGATTGACAATAAGTCATGACACAGGTCAGATTGACAATAAGTCATGAGACAGGTCAGATTGACAGTAAGTCATGAGACACAGGTCAGATTGACAGTAAGTCATGAGAAAGGTCAGATTGACAGTAAGTCATGAGACACAGGTCAGATTGACAATAAGTCATGAGACACAGGTCAGATTGACAAAAAGTCATGAGAAAGGGTCAGATTGACAATACGTCATGAGACACAGGTCAGATTGACAATAAGTCTTGAGACACAGGTCAGATTGACAATAAGTCATGAGACACAGATCAGATTGACAGTAAGTCATGAGACACAGGTCAGATTGACAGTAAGTCATGAGACACAGGTCAGATTAACAATAAGTCTTGAGACACAGGTCAGATTGACAATAAGTCATGAGACACAGATCAGATTGACAGTAAGTCATGAGACACAGGTCAGATTGACAGTAAGTCATGAGACACAGGTCAGATTAACAATAAGTCATGAGACACAGGTCAGATTGACAATAAGTCATGAGACACAGGTCAGATTGACAATAAGTCATGAGACACAGGTCAGATTGACAGTAAGTCATGAGACACAGGTCAGATTGACAATAAGTCATGAGACACAGGTCAGATTGACAGTAAGTCATGAGAAAGGTCAGATTGACAGTAAGTCATGAGACACAGGTCAGATTGACAATAAGTCATGAGACACAGGTCAGATTGACAGTAAGTCATGAGAAAGGGTCAGATTGACAATAAGTTATGAGACACAGGTCAGATTGACAATAAGTCATGAGACACAGGTCAGATTGACAGTAAGTCATGAGACACAGGTCAGATTGACAATAAGTCATGAGACAGGTCAGATTGACAATAAGTCATGATAAAGGGTCAGATTGACAGTAAGTCTTGAGACACAGGTCAGATTGACAATAAGTCATGATAAAGGGTCAGATTGACAGTAAGTCATGAGACACAGGTCAGATTGACAATAAGTCATGATAAAGGGTCAGATTGACAATAAGTCATGAGACACTGGTCAGATTGACAATAAGTCATGAGACACAGAGCTACCCCAACTTTAATAAGTCATAGAGCTGGCAGTAAAAAATCCAGCCAGTATGTGAGATAGAAAGCCACCCAAAACACAGACTAGCCACATGGAAACAGTAACTGACCTGATAGTGTACAGGAAGGTTGTACTTGAGGCGAACAAATTTCTTCAGATGGCCCACTGTAACAGCAGCCTTACACTGTAAGTATCTCACATCCACGGCCTCCTGGGAAACAAACAAATGATGGTGGTAATACAAACACACTGATCAACATCTCGTTAGCAATTCTTAACTTTTCGTTATGTTGAAAACCTTGAACTAAACTTCCGGGGTAAAACATTCACCACAGAGATATGTAAACAATTACTATTACAAGGTGTGTGAAGGTCGAGAGATGGGAAACAAACCTTAATCCTTCTGTCGATCCTAGTCTTCAAGTCTTCTTTGGTCGTGAAAACTCGACGGAAGTCTACACGGTCGCTTGCACCACTGAAAACAGAGAGAGACGGTTGTTGAACACTGCAGGTTAACTATTGACAACTTGCTTCTTACATCAAGTCTAGAGAAAAAAACATAGCCTTCGTTCATCTTAAAGAAATCTGAAGCGTGTAAATCCCAGTATCAAGGTGTCAACATTTTTAACCCAACTAAACAACTAAGTCAACTCTGATTTACAAGAAAATATAGGCTCCTTGTAGACTACAAATAATATGAATTTTTAAATTAAAAAAAAAATATAACATAAAATTCAAATACTATTACAACAGAAAATGATGTCTAGATATATTCTCTAAGGGGTCGTCCATTTATGACGTCCACACGGAAGGGGGAGGGGGGTTCAAAAAATCGACTTTTGAGGACACGTGGGGGTGGGGAGAGGGGATCGGGTCCATGAGGACGTCCACATGCTGAACTTAATGTCGAAGTGCTAACATTTTTAAACAAACATAAAACTCGAATCCTGCATGTAAAAAGTGAAATTAAGACGACATTGCTCGTGTTAAATGAAGACATCTCTAGACTCTACTCTTATATTTAGCCTAATAAAAAACACGAGCCGGCCCGCGGCATAACATACGCCGCTATTTAGTTGTTTCTAATTTTCAATAATTCATAATTTGTGAATTCGACAGTACCAACGCTGACACTGAAAATATTTCTTTAAAACACTATAAGTAGCTCGTTAAGGACCATAACCGCCCCCCCCCCCCTCTTCCTTCCCTCCCCCCCCCCTACGTTTAAAATCGTTGGCTCTGCTTGTAAACATTTAGAGTGAACACAGCTCACTAAAACCATGTAGGGGTGGGGAGGTAGGGAGAGCGTTTGCAGCTTGTTTTCTAACGGCTCGAAGAAGAGAATTATATATATAGATTCTCGAAATACTAAAGCCGTATATCAGTTATTAGATACACAATACATGTTATCGAAATAGTAAATTGGTAGAAGTTTTGCGAGATCTACTAAATTTTTCAATTTTCCTGGACTCCACCTGGGGGGGGGGGGGGGGGTTGTCGAAAGTGGATGCGCATATAATTTGTGTGGACGTCATAAATAGATGACCCATAAGCCGTAAATTTTTGGTAATAGTCAATTTTTGGTAATAGAAGAAAACAGACATTACGCAACAAAACAAAAGTATAGAGTTAGTCATTACTGACAGTTACAGATAGTCATTACTGACAATGACTTGTTACTAACATTGACATTCCAAAAGTTATCTTGAAATAAACACAATAAACTATTCACAAACTGAGTTGTTTTAACCTCGCTAGGACCAAACAAGAAAAATGGAAGTGTATGTGAGTTTTTTAATGAAGTAAAAACAAAGGTATTCCACGCATGTAAAGAAAGAGCAATTAGAAGGGAAAGGTTGGGTAAAATGTGGCGAGTCGGCACTAATGTCATGAGAGATCTCCCACTGCCAACATGGCGGGCAGGGACATCAAAGAAAGATTGCTCCGGCGGGAACAAGTCTAATTCTGCTCCAGCCGAGCACCGGCAGGCAGATATCTTGTGAAGTTGGGAAATGCTAGAGATCAACGGGGCAGAAACACTCCCTCTATGCCAAGCTAATAGCACTGCAGGATCAGAGCGCAAGCCGAGAGTTGGACGATAAGACAAAAATTCTTAACACTTTTTTTTTAAAGCAACAGATCTAGAAGATTTGCTAATAGGAAAATAAACGTAAATTCTTTTTTTGCGCAACAAAAAAATTAGGCGCGAGGTTTTCTCCTTTACCCCATATAGCGAATATGTCATTACGGAAGCTATCCATCTTTGTTTATGTGTTTACGTGACAATAATAGCATAATGTAAGCAATGTATCTTGCTTATGCATTATGTTACAATAAATGTATAATGTAAGCAATTTATCTTATTATTACGTGACAATTAAAACGTAATGTAAGTAATGTATCTTGTTTATGTATTATGTGACAATGAAAGCTTAATGTAAGCAATGTATCTAGTTGAAGTATTGGCTCCACTATAGCCCCACACAACGACCCTGATCAAAGGGATTCTACCATTAGATAAGATCCCATCCAATAGACTAGCTGTGATGATTTCAATGAAGGCCCAGGTAAAGCGGGGCGGGCAGTAAATCTATTTTTAGCCCAGGACCAGGTAAACACGGGATGTAGTGGCACTAGACTAGTGTCTACAGCAAGCCAACCTGATGGGAGCTATTCCTGGAATTCATACACGCTCATTTAAGGGCAGGGGAATAGCACTGGCATGGCCGCTAGTAAGCTATGTATCGTTGTCTTTTGAGTAGGGTCATTCCCATCATTCATTTTTTTTTGTTTCTAGTCAATTCCGGCACATACAAATACACTTAAAGTGGTATTTCACGACCGAACCGTTGAACTAGACCGGATCGGATGCTAGCATTGGCTCTATTTGTGTCTTCACAATAACATTATATCTCTACATATGTCTCATAAAAACTTTTAAAAAAATTAGACTTTTTTTTTTTAAAGTAAAGACTAAAAACACAAGGTATGTCTAGTCTAATATTGCCTTCTTAGCTACAAAGACTGCTTCTAAAGACCTTCCATAAAGAAAGACGGGATGTACCTATCACTAAGGACTTTAGTTTTCTGATTGAGGGGAGCTTATCATAAGTCAGTGTGGAGGACATCAATATATTTTATTATGCTCTGGTCTAAAGGCATTGCTTGTCTTAATGAATATGTGACACGGTGAAGTAGTGTATAGTTGCTTATGTGAGCATGGTGTAACTGTATGTTACATGGCGATGGGGCATACAAGGAGATTGTGCCACATACATGATACTGTGTGTAACAGGACTGTGTGTTATACACAAAGACTGTGTTATACATGAATTCTGTGTAATAGTCATGTTATAGATGTAAACTGTGTGGGTTGTACATGAAAACTACTTAAGGTACATCAGACATGTGTATTATACATGAAAACTGCCTGATATACATGAAAATTATTTTATACATTGAAGACTGTGTTGTACACAAAGACTGTAATATATATGGTCTGTGGATTCGTTTCTAAAGAGTGCTTTGTATTACGTTTGGTGATTGTGCTATAAATTGCTATCCAATGTGTACGACAATATGACAATGTCCCCTATTGAAGCTAACACAAGATGACAACACCAGGCTACTCACTCAGGACAAAAGTGTAAGGCTAGGCTAATCTTCTCCTCCTCTGTGTAGGCGAATCTGTCACTCATCTCATCCCCTCTCTCCTCCCCCGCCCTCTTGGGTGCGGCTGAAACCAATACAATTTGACATCAATTCAAAGCTCACATCAGGGAGTAAACAAATAATTTGTAGACAAATGTTGAGAGACGTACCTTCATAATGAGTCGTGTAGAACTCTCGCCTCCGACGCATTTCATCTAGACAAGAGAATAAAACAATGTATCAGTTAGGGTGGTCAAGTCAACGAAGTAAGTAGAGGTGAATGGGCACGCTAGTTACAGGTTGGTAAGGAAATAAACTGACCTTTGTATAAGCCTGGAACCAGTTTGTAAACCAGATCTTGTAACAACTTGTCTGACCTATGGGAGGGGTTAAAGGTTAGTCGTGAGGATATAACGTTCTTCTCAAGTACTGAAAAAATAATACTCAACAACATCCATATAACGTGCAGGGGGGGGCGCATAACATTTGTCTCAAGAAGAGAACCAACAACATTTAACGAAATCTGTGTAAGGCGGAAGGCCAAGACTACAGCAACTAGTTTAATGACATTCATTTCAAGTTATGTAAGAATTACGTGATGTAACAGAGGTTCGGGGGGGGGGGGGGGCAAGGTTTCGACAGCCAGTATATAACATACAACTACACTGGTGTGGCGGGAGGGGGGGGGGGGAAGCGACGACAAGGGTAGAACAGGGAGTTAATAACATACACTGGTGTAAGTACTGTAAGTGGGTGGACAAACTAAACCGATGAAGACACCAGAAGGATTCATGCATCAGGTAGATGAGAAGGAATGTGTTATGAGACAGTTGATACATTGCTTTCCTGGACCAGCAGCTACAACCTTCACATAACCAGTTAACTACAGAGATAGCACGGAGAGCTGGAGAGAAGTAGACAACTATAACCAGCACATGACAGATTTATACAGACAGATACAAATTGTTATAAGGTGGTCATCCAAACATTGTAGGGTGCTGGCTTACACAAGTACAGTGTAACCATGTTAACAATTATTGAATGGTCACTAGTGTACAATAAAAATTACAGTGCACACTCGGGTGATTAATGTACACATTGTTGGCGAATGTTTTCCATAAGTATATGGTGACACATAAACATGGTTACTAAAGAAAATACATAACCACAACACGTCTACCCATGTAAACTCTATTACTCGCTATTAGGAAAGCGCTATAAAGAACAGTGTTAAAAAAAAGAATCAAGTGGTACCTTATGTTCTGGTGTGGTCTAGTTTTGTGGACAACAGTGTCACACACTGGACACGTCTTGCTGGTTTTCAGGTAAGTCACAATACACGTACGGCAAACTGTTGAGACAAATGTATACAGATGTTATAGGCTGGCATCACACACTCTAGTACTGGCAACTAGAGTTCATCAAATCACACAGTGCTAGGTACAGCTATGAGGGCTAAAGCTAATTTGTTTTGATGTTTTGTTTTAAAGAAATAGCTCCAGTATTTTAGAAACAGCATAATGCTAAGTTATAGTGTTAAAGTAAGAATGAAATACTTACAGGAATGTAAACATTCTATAATAGTAGTGGCATCAATAAAGTAACCTTCACACAATACACAAATCAGATTTTTGTTGATATCTCCGATTTTCAAACGGGTTGTCCCGTTCATCTAAAAAAAAAACAAGAAAAAATATCTTGATACACAAAGAACTGTAATTTAGCAAGTAAATGTAGGTTGTGCTATGAACATTTTTAGGAACATTCAAATCTATACAATATGGACAAGACAAGGGGGTTTCAAGACAACAGAATGATGCAGATACCCATTAAAAATATAGACATAGTTCTAGTTTTAAGTTGAGACGAGTAGGGGCAGATACAGTATCAAAATACCATAATGTTAATATAATAGTAGCGTGTTTTGTACTTGGTTTATACTTTCCAACAATCTTAACTAGATCTAGCAGTTTAGACTCGATGCAAATGACTTGCTAATAGCTGTTCAGCTGTACTTAAGTGAGATTTCAGCGTACCTTTCTCGAGTCGTAAATATGCCACTTGCTTAATATACGTTTGTCGGTGTATCAGCATGAAGCCGGGGGCCAGTATTTGATGCGAGCCAACAGACGAATGGCGGGCCAGCCAGCCAGCAGACACCAAGCACAAGAAACCGTGCCATACTAGTGTGTGCTTCTAGCGGCATGCAAGTTAGGAATTTTCTCCTGACATTTGGGAGTCGAGTGAATTAATTGCCTTTTGCGAACAAATCCGATGGTTTTATTTCTTCTCCCTCATTGTGAATTGAGCTAGGTTTAAACGAGACAAGGGGGAGAAGCTCCCCCACAAGACACTAAACCCCCTGAAACATTAGCTCCTGGCCCTGGCTGGGGAAAGGTTTAGTGGAGGTTAATATGTTGCCCTGCTCTCAGGCTATTTCAAAATCTTAGTTTGGTGGGACATAGGAAACCAAAGCACATTCTCTAATAAGTATGTCAAATTCATCAACTTCTATTAGTGACCACCTGTCGCATTGATGTCGTTTAATGACAGCGCACTCCCTGGTCAAAAGTTATATTATGAATAAATAAACAGGTGTAAGGATAGCTGCCTAAACTGTTTCATGGTTTTGTGATGTCAACAGGGTATCGGGCTGATAAGTAAACAACACAACTTAACGATCATTTAAACACAACATCACATTGACAAACCGTGAGATCTAAAACTAATTTAGTTCCAGTACCATCTCAAGTTAAAATATTAAATCTACGAAAGAGTTTTGTTTCTTGTTCTACCGATCGTGTTAATTTCACCCTTTGAACCTACGCACATTGAAATGTTGCTAGTGATGCACACTGTCTATAAAACAGTGATCAGTAGCACAGAGATCTACTCAATGTAACACGGTACAAGTTGTGTTTTCTGTGGTATAACGTGTTTACTTTGTTTAAACCTACACATCAACATCAATACTTCAGTTTAAGATATCACTGGGAAAGGTTTGAAGTGAGGAGTAGAAAATCCCAACCCTCACCCGCCCCACAACTCAACAGCCCTAGTTGAATAAAGCACTCAGTATTTTACCAGGCCAAAAGACGTTGCTGAACACTCCAAGCTAGTGAACGTGATTGTTTCAGCGGATGGGGAGGGAGTGGGGGCCTCTGTTGTTCCACTCCACCTGACTCGTGGCGAGTTCTGGTTTGCTTGACGTTCTATCCAGTGTGAGCCAACCAAAACGCGTGCTGACTGCCAATGCGCGAGGTATAGGCGCGAGACTAATCAGCCCCCCAGCCATTAACGTCAGACACATAGCCCGGGTGTACACGGCCACAGACTGGCGCACTACCGCGAGTACTGACAGCTAAACAAACATACTAGCGACCTTAAGATGGCATCACCACCATTTCAAATCTGTCACCGGGCTGATACACCACTGGCGGCTCAAACTTTCTTCAAACACTACACGTGATAATGCGAATATTGCCACAACCGGTATCACAAAGGCAAACCTCGGGTCTACTGCCTTAAGCTTGTTCACGTGTAGCTATGGTTGGCCGTATCGCAACAAAGAACTCAATATTGAGTCCCTTGTCTCAATGTATTGCTTGTTAATAAGATGCCTGCACTTTATGGACCAAACTCTATGGTAGTGTCAACTATATTGGCAATTTTGGGAGTTAATTATACGGATACATTTTTAGGCCAAACGATATCTATATTGCAATAGAAAAAAATGTTACAACAAACACTAAGGCTGTTCACTTGTTTAATTGTGTTTGATCAAATGAGCAGAAGACAAAAACAATGTGTACGTTAAAATAAAAGACCATATCCACATTTACATCAGTAAAAGTACAAGTGTGTGAACTTGTGTGGGTAGCAAATTTTACTCAAATATAGAGAGCTCAGAGGCGTCGCTGGGCGGGGGGTGCGGACCGCACCGGGTGACACCACTGAGGGGGGTGACACCAAGACAAAAAAAATATAGAACGAGCCGGCCCGCGGCATAACATACGCCGCTATTTAGTTGTTTCTAATTTTCAATAATTCATAATTTGTGAATTCGACAGTACCAACGCTGACACTGAAAATATTTCTTTAAAACACTATAAGTAGCTCGTTAAGGACCATAACCCCCCCCCCTTCCTTCCCTCCCCCCCTCCCCCCTACGTTTAAAATCGTTGGCTCTGCTTGTAAACATTTAGAGTGAACACAGCTCACTAAAACCATGTAGGGGTGGGGAGGTAGGGAGAGCGTTTGCAGCTTGTTTTCTAACGGCTCGAAGAAGAGAATTATATATATAGAAGATAAATTTGTTTTGTTTTAAATTAGAGTTAAAAAGTAATTTAAGTACATAATGGCGATCCCGACAAGGGAGGGGAGGATAGTGACACCATGACGTAAACGTGCAAACAATAGAGAAAACAATGCTACAACCAGCTGTATTTACAACCGACTATAGATAAACATAATCAGTATAAAATGTATTAAATGTGAACGCTTCAAAGATTTTATCAAAGGGGGTGGAGATTACACCAACTGCAAAATTTACAGAGAAAAAATAGGGGGGGGGGTGGCACCATGAGATGCCGCACCGGGTGACATCCGATCTAGCGACGCCACTGAGAAAGCTAACACCAAAAACACTGTTGATCTGTGTTTCTGACTTATTTTTCACCAGAGAGAGAGAGAGAGAGAAAACCGGGGGGGGGGGGGGGGGGGGTAATGATTAAAAATTTCGTAGGACGGGGCAGACACTAGTAAAGGTATATATTCTCTCTCTCTCTCTGTATATTCTATTGAGTTGGGGTGGGGGTATCGATGTTCCATTGGGAGGGGGGGGGGGGGCACTGAGGAGATGCCTGAAAAAAAAACTCTGCTGTTGATGAAATGTTTAAATTAAACACATTTGAACTTTTTATTTGAGTTTTTACTTCTACTGCACAGATGTCCCAGTAGTCGGCTAATGAATACAAGTACTAAAAGCGTCCACGTGACGTATAACTGCATATTTTAATATTGTCTACTGTGATGTTCGCACGATTTGTTTTGTTAAAGGTTGTTTTTGTTATTGACTAAGATAAGAACAGCCGTACTAGCAAGAGAAACTATTTGAAGTAAAATATAGAAAAGGCAGTGAATGATTTAGATCTAGCTAGCCTGAGCCCATTCGTTGGTCGCGTTCAAACTGGAAACGAAATCGATTGAAGGATGACCCCGCCGTCCATGGCCGCTATAAAACAGGCCTGGTGAGGACGATGTGGAATCAATGGGTCTAGTGCTGGAGATGCTCTCGGTTCTTGACTCACTGGAATGTCTTCACAAATTGGAAAATACCCGTGGGCGTCAAGCGTAATTATATCTGGGACATAACACAGCTACATTACTTTAGCTGGCCAGCGTTGTTTAAGTCAGCTGTGGTTATACATGTACATCAAGTTAATGTTCTTTTTTATTTAACACAAACATTCACATTTAAATCAAACTACCTAGCTTATATAGCGCGCGTCAGTAGTAATGATTCCGGTATGTGGATAAGGGAATAAGTCGCGCAAATCGATGAGATTGGCATCATTAGAAAGTACCTGCATGATGATGATTCAGTCACCGCGACACGGACATATTCATTGATTTTTTGGTGATGGGCCTAATTTGTATTGATCTATAAAACCTACAGCACGTAAACATTACACGGGCAAACATAAATGACTTGATGAGGACTATCTCAAGACAAAGCATAAATCAATTTGCTTCCCTGTGTGTAAAATGACTTGTATTACATCCACAGCCATTACAAACTGATTGCGACAGCACGCCAGCTACAAGTACAGGCTAGCTGTGCAGACTATGCTTCGAAAGACGCGCACTGAAACTGGGAACGAAGACAAGCAGTACACAGAGCTAGGCTATCATAATCTAATTAATTCAGCGCTAAAAGATAGGCAACTGACAGCGGGCGGGGAGAGCAGGCGTTGGACGGGTTGGCTGGTCATTGTGCTGGCCACACAATCCCACGCTAATATGTTGGGGTCAGGTGAAGTTATTTTCACAGCCTACAGGGACAGCTCAAAGCGATTCGATCTCTGGATTGCTAGGACGATACTTGTCTCTATTTGCCCCGTATATTGCTGGGACGTTGCTTGTATCTTTAAGCCCCTTTTATTGTTGGGACGTTGCTTGTACCTATTAGCCCCGTATATTGCTGGGACGATACTTGTATCTATTAGCCCCGTATATTGCTGGGACGTTGCTTGTATCTTTAAGCCCCATGTATTGTTGGGAAGTAACTTGCTTCTATTAGCCCCGTATATTATAGAGACGTCACTTATTTCTTTTTGCCCCATGTTAACATGTGAAATGTGCCACATCCACCGTTTATATCTAATTGACTTTATTGACACTCCTACTGTCAAGTTAAATCTGTATCAGACTACGCTTCTATTTCTAACTATTAGCTCGATCAAAATATCAAAGTTAAGGGGAATATGTAATGTGCAGGGGCAAATGTGTCAAGGAAAGAAAAATAAATTTGAATTATTATTGCCCATATAACAACATGGGGGTAGTGTGGACACATCAGAGATGCGCGAAGGAACGTCGGCCCAGGTTTAGTAGCCACAGCACACAAGAGAAAAACATGACCTAGATTGAAACAAGCACGAAGGGCGAGCAGTTAATCCAGGTCACTTGGTTTGTCGCAAGCCTCCCAGCTGGACACATATTACGCTCCTACACTTTGCTATTCATAAACTTTAGAGCGCGTCACCGACATTCAAAACCAACGTCATAAACACCAACAGGTCTTAAATTTAAGCACACACGATTGTAAAAGTTTCAAACTGGGGGCCTTGATTTTTTAAATTTATTTTTATAAATTAATAAAACACGATAAATGCTAATGGACAGTCGGGCAATATACCTGAAAAAAACTTTTTATGATATAATATTTATCTTAGCCTGTTTGACTACTGTAAAAAAAATGTACGCCAACAAAACAAATATTTTGTAAAAAAAAAAAAAACATTTGTTTAACAACATCAAAAGCTGAGTTTATTATTATCAATATGATAAATAGAAGATGGGTCGTTCTATAAACGAATTAGTCATGTTGTATTAATATTTTAGGTGTTCTGGCTACATTGAGAAGTGTGTCCGAAAGTGTATTCAAATGTGACCTTCACGGACTGGTCATTAATAATTTCCGCCCGCCCCTTCCCACCTCTTTTCTCTACACACCGTGCTATCCCTTGGTCATGGAGCTGACCATGACCGCCGAAGCACACAACACTGAATGACAAAACAGTGTTTTGACCTAGTCCAACAGCACAATGAAACAGGCATAAAGGAGATGGGACTGTGCGCCAGGAAAGGGAGGGTCGGTAAACTGACAATGGCAAAACGTCGGGGCGGGACCAGTGCGGCTGGGCTCGGAGAAATTCCCATACATGGATTGGCAATAATGAAATACACTATAGCTCAAGACTCACGACTTAGTGGGTTTTTTTTAAATGAGAATGTACTAAAAATGTAATTACCGACAACTTTTTGTTTTATAAATAAAAAGGGATATTGTTACCAGAAGTTAATAGGCCCATATATGTATTACTATAAACGCGCTGGCAATCAGACCTCCCCTAGGTCTAGATCTATAAATCACTTGCTATCGCTTTTTCCACGTTATATAACATTTTTGCATTAATAACTGACCTTTTTACCCCAAACTACACATAACTACAAAGCGGAATAGTGCAACACATTATTTATATGCAATTACTAGATCTACCTATATTACAGATCTCAAGATCTAATGTGCTGACAGTAACTTTAACATGAATGTAGATCTACAAGTTTAAAAACAGAAGTGACACAAAAATCAACTCATAGATCTGTATTAATACTAGATCTATATAGTATATAGATCTAGAATTTAGATCTTTTAGGCCTGCATAAATTATACATATCTTGAGTGTCTCTATAACTAACTATAGACTATATATAGGCCTAAATTCCTAAATGTATAGATCTAGAATAGGCCTAGGAATAGGCCTAAACAAAACACATTTTATTTTTCAGTCTATTGTAGATCTAGAAATCTAGACAATATAAATCCTTAAATCAATGTTTAACGAAAAGTTAAAGTGGCCTACAATCTAGAATATGTCTATTATGCAAAAAAAAATTATTAGAAGGCTAGAAACGTCCAGTCTAACTAGATACACTATGTAACTTTCTAAGTACTTACAAAGTTATCAGTTAGATCTAGATCTAGTCTAGATCTAGATGTCTAGTTAGTTGTAGACTAGACCTAGACTCTAGATTCTAGATCTAGATGTAGAATCTAGATCTATACCTAGATTAAATTTTTAAATCTAAAACTAGAATCTAGATTTTTATGTAATTTTTAGTGCAATTAATGATGCGAACAGATAAAAAGATAAACAAAATAGGCTCCTACAAGCAAAGAAAAAGTATCCATTCGAGGTTTAATGGTAAAAAAGTCAGCTGTTTTCGACATTAGTTTTCAAATAAAAACAAAACAACGATGTATTTTGGTTAGCTACTGGATTTTCTCTGATACAAATTGATCATGGGTGGGGGAGGGGCGAAGCGTTTTTATCTGAAAGTCGCGTTAAGTTCCTACAAAGATGTTACTAACCTTTCAGTTTCCGTATCAACCCGTATATTTTTTGTAGGGGAATATGCTGGTGTCGTTTTCTACATACAGTTTTAACGCAGTTACCAAAGTTAAAGAAAGATATTAACCCACAGCCTAGTAATCAAACCGCCTTAGTATGGCCATGGCCTGCTGATGACGCCATCTTGGTCTGCTTTCGAACGCCAACCCGTCGATAAGTAGTGTGCAGACCGTGTTTAATTTGTGATAAGCACTAAATTAGGTTGAAAGTTTTGATATAATAATGGCATTACTCACCTTTGTAAGAAATAAAGTTGCACTAATGAAGTAAAAATAATAACTTGTCTGTTATAATAAAAAAAACAATCCAAGTGAAGAAAATAACAGCCACAAGACCAGCAACGCCGGCGAGGTCACGTGACTTCCAACAGCCGTCAGCATTATTTTCCGCAGCCGGTATTTTTAGACAGGCTCGACCGCCCAATCACAGACAACCTACTCCGTGACCCAGACTTTCGAATCCCGCCTGATTGGCTGTTGGAGTTTGACGCTTCGCTACCCACCGTGGAACGATCCAAGCAGAGAAGAGTTTGAGAACAATGAATTTGCTTTCGGGAAAGTTCACAGTCCTGTGCCTATGATTTGAGGTTTGGCTAGGCTTCAATGGTTTACAGCCAACACTCGACTCCGCCATCAGAGCGAGTGGAAAATGAAACGACTTATTTGGTTATTTCAATAGTCAATTATGGTTAATTCTAATCAAACTAATTTATGTCAATAGTACTAAATGTATATTGGGACAGCCTATTTTTTACTACATTTTTTATGAGCCATCCGTAGACTAGGTCACCGTTTCCGAAGCACTTGTTTTCTCATTTCCCGCTCAAATCAAAACTGCACATGTTAAAAAATCTTTTTTTAAAAATACATTTAGAATCGTGTCTACGTATATACACTTATACAGAGATACGGTTAAAATGTAATTATAGAATTAAATCTATTTGACATTGACCTACAGAAAATAATCCTGAATATAAAGTGGGGAACTGTTGACGTCATCAATATGGTGAGGAAGCTTTAGATTTGCATACTGTCAGCTGACGCATTGTCTTCGCTTTCACGGAGGCCCAGACTTTTAAAAAAAAAAAACTAACTAGGCCTCACTAGATAAGGCTAACCAGTAGCTGCGAGGGGATGTGTACATTTAATATAACGAATCAGGAAGGGGGATGTTTTATCAATTTGATCTACGTATTTAGAAAGACGGGGTGGAAATGCTAGTATGAAACATAGATTCTAGATATACCAATTCTTTTGTTAATGATTTCATAACTTTGAAATTGTTAGCTGCTGAATCGTATGTTTGGATAAAAACTGATTTGATTTTCTCGGGTATATAGATCTAGATCATTAACTGAATTTTTTAAATCTTCAAAAGTTTGAGTATACGATACCTGATTATTTCTTATCTTGAGGCTTATAAATCTCTCCTGGAGTGTTGCAGGGCGATGCTGTATAAAATATAATCAGTAACCGTTTTTTGTTGTTGAAAAGCATTGGGCAATAATGGAGTGTCGTACGTGTTTCAATAGTGCTGATTGGGTGGGGGCGGAGAGGGGGGGGTCGAATCTTTTATTTATTTTTAGCTTTTAAAGGTTGTATGGTTTACTAAAACTTTTCAATGCGAACGTGTATTCCAAATATTACCCTCTAGCTGTAGCGCCAAGCCATGTAAAACATGAGCAGGGACTGAAGACGTAACATACCACACAAACTCCACCCTCACCCCCCACCACACCACCTACTGGACGCCCAGATAAGTATCTCGATATAAGCCAGTGCATAGATATTTAAACTCCATGCTAATGGTTAAAGAATTTTTATACCATTAAGTAAATAAATGTGTGGAGACAATACAAATCCCTCTATAATAAAAAAAAAACAACAACAAAGAATGAGTTTATTATAGAATACAATGGAAATTTTCACATAACTGATATGCCCGTGTTTCAATCAAGTTGTTTATTTCCGCCAAACACGCATGGCGTCAACATTTTGTTTATAAACAAGAATTTAAAATGTTTCACACTCACCGATAGCGCCGGTCAGGGAATTATCAGGCTGGCGTGCTATTGATCTAGCACCGTGAGAACTTGCTGGTGGTGATTAGTGGTCAGATGTCCTGCTATTGGGCGCCCGCAGTTGAATTCACGTGTGTGTGTGGGGGGGGGGGGGGGGGGGATTTCGAGTACATATGACTAAAAAATCATAAATTTATATTTATATCAAGAAATTGTAGGAAAATGTAAATGTGCGATACATTTTGAAAAAAAAATTACTAACTTGTATTACCATGAAATGTAAATCGACACAAATATGCATAAATATGTTGCATTTTGCAATACATAAAGTATGCAGTTCCTGTTGGTGATGTATGTTTAATGACCCAATTTATAATCTGACATGGATACCTTCACGTGAGAGAGTATGCCAGTTTATGGGTTTAACTTTCATTAGTGTGGATGTCATAGGCAGTGGCGTGCAGAGGGGGGGGGGGCGGACGGGGCCCGGGCATCCACCAGCGGAGATGGAATTTTTTTATTTATTTATTTTTTTTTTTTATTTTTTTTTTTTTTTTTTTTGTAATTAAAAAAAAAAGTTGCGATATGTTGTGTCTTGGTGTCATCGTAACTTTCCATATATTTGCCGATCTCACCCAAAACAAATTGTAACACTCGATCGTCTGTAGCTCGTTTTGACAATACACTGTCCGTATGGCAAAACTTATATAGAAAAAGCGGGCATCCGTGAAGGGTAGTACTATGGTAGTCATTGATATTCCCTTAATAAATGTGTGTGATATTTATTTAGTATAGTGTAGGGGTATCTTTTAGAGTACTTGTGACCAAATTATTCCCATGCACTTTCAAGAATATCCGTCGAGTTATTATATCATATTTATTATTTTACACTGTAGGGGCCTCTTTAAAGTAATTATTCGTATATTCATTATAATATATGTTATGAGCATCTAGTAATATGCCCACTTCACAATACATTTTAAAGGCATCCATAAAGTAAGTAAGGGACGGAGTGGTCTAGCGGTAGAGAGCTGGACTAAGTCTCGAGTTCGAATCCGGGTTAAAGTCAGTAGACCGTCCCTGAGTCCACCCAACTCGGATGGGTACCTAACTCAAGTTAGGGAAAGTAAAGGGCATAGTGCTGACCACACTATCTCTTCATATGCCGAGGTCACAGAAACAAGTGAACTCTACTTCACTTGCCCCATAGACCGTCAGGTTTGAAAGGGAAACTTTACTTACTTATAAAGTAAGTATGCCCATCTTCATTTTATATATTGTAGGGGCATCTGCATTTTGAAAATAATTATGCTTATTTTCATGTAGTAATACACTCGAAGGGCATGCAACAGTAATTACACCAATCATCGTTGTTAACATTGGGGGCACCTCTAAAGCTTTTAGTGTACATGTTCATTATGATATATTTTAAGGGCGTCTAAAGGGCAATTATGCCCATTTAATTATTATAAATGTTTGGGGCATCTTTGGTGAAATATATGGCCATTTGTAGTGTAATAACGCCCATGCTTTTTTTTTGTTAAATTGTAGGGGCATCCTTTGGAATATATTGATTTCCATGCATTATATGAGCATACTTAAGAATAAGAATGCCCATATTGTTTTTGATATACTGTAACGACAACCTCAAGAATAAGAATCAGCATATTATTTTCGATGCATTGTAGTGATATCATTCAGAATAATTGCGCCCATATTGATTTTTATGAATTGAAGGAGCATGCTTTAAGTAGTGTTAAAGTTAAAGTATTTTAACTCTGAGTAGAGCTTTCTTTAAAGTAATTGGGGGCACATACAGAGCCAGTTTTATTCCAGTTAATAGTAGAGCTATCTGTAGAGTTATTGAGCCCATAATGATCTAATGAAATGTGGGTATGCGTTGTGGGTTTTCAGGATTATCCCCACCTGAACTAAACAGGCGTTACTTGGGTGTTAAATTTGGGAAAACACGTCCACGTTGTAGGGAGGATCTGACATAGCACAGTGGATTTTTAAACAAAGTCCGACGTAGAAGTGGTTTTTTTTTTAAGTATTAAGGTATGGTATGGCTGGCAGTTTTAGCTAACCAAGGTACACTTCTGTTATATTCCAGGTTCGGGTAGTTTTAGAGTATCTAGCATCACCCATCTCTTTGAAGAGTTGACGTTTTCACCTAGTGATTTAAAGAAAAAAATGTGAAACATCTCTAGTTCAATGCACAATCTCATCTGTATTAGTTACACTATACAAATTCCTAAACAGGCCAAGAGAGAAACATCCCATTAATAAAGGCGTATCTGACGCCCTAATTGTAGACACGGACAACGTTTTTGTCCCTGCGGTCCCGGGTGGTAATACAATACCGGATGAGACTCTTTTGTAGTGCATCACAGCCCCCCCCCCTCCCACCCCACGACACGTCCCCCGATTGTCTTCTCGCCCCGAAGCTCAACACATTCATTACTTGGGATTTAGCTGTAATCAACGTTTTCATCTTGATTAAGATAAGTACAATTTTTTTAAAAATACGTTTCTATGTGTATTAAAAATTAATGTTCAACACAAATTATTATTTTATTTTTAATTAAGCTTTATGTTGAGACTATTGTGTTGAACTAAAATGAGTGTCTATACCACCAAAAGGTCGGTTCAGAGGTTAATTAGCTTTATTTGCTAGTATCCATACCCTAGCGCAAATCTGGGCTTGCATCAACTATAACCCTAGCCGTAAACATAAGCTTCATACCATTCAATACCCTAGTTCAAATCCTTAAGTTGATACCGCCAGAATTTTTTTTTTTAGCCGCAAGGCACTATAATTTCAATGAATTGATTAATTATTTGCTACTGTCTGTGATTTTAGTGAGTTATAGTGTAATGATCAATTGCCTGTGAATTATGACGAATTATTGTGTGATCAAGTGTCTGTGAATTTTAACGAATTATTGTGTGATCAAGTGTCTGTGAGTTTTAACGAATCATTGTGTGAACAACTATCCGTGAATTCTAATAAATTATTATGCTAGCAA